GAGGCACAAATCGAGCCACTGATAATTCAGATTGGTGAGGATGACACTACTGATGAAGAGACAAATTCATCCAGTTGAATAATTTTGATTAATATTCCTTTTGATTTTACATAAAATAAAAATTATCAATAAAGAAATAATTACGTCTCTTTTCATATAATGCTTGAGTGCGCTGTGAAAAATTCAATGAAAATCTTTTTATATTACACATATTATCTGTATTTTTTCCGTTAAACTGCAAAACTTGTGCATTTCACTCGTTATTATAAAAAAGTTTCCCTAAGTATGATATCGCATTTGCGATCAACAAGATGTGGTTCTGAATACGACCCTGGCCAATTCTTGGGATTTTCAATATCACGTGCGTAGGGCATGTCAATGTTTACGTCCACTCTATCTTGGATTTGAATTTGCTTTAGGCTGTTCTGAAAAGGACAAGCCTGAAGGTAAAGGCAGTTTATATCTGAAGGAATATTATATGCCGGATGTACGCTTCTTTAGAAGTTTCACACACTCCTCGTATAAAAATTGAGAAGTATACAGCCAACAAGGTTTTTCCAAAAATACGTGTCCCCTGAAAATACTTCATTTTCAATTTCAGATTATACGGTGATGTAAATTTAAGGACTATTTCGTGAATAAATATCTGCAAGTTGTTGGAAGCATTATTGAGTCCAAATGGGATACGAATGAACTATAAGTATACTGTAGAAGTTTGAAGTTTAATTTTGTTCATCTCAAGTTGGTGGTAACTAGGTACTAGTTGAATTCCTTCAGTTGGTTAATAATGATTTTACTGGTTAAACTATCATGAAAATTCACTTTCAGGTTTTTTATCAGCGCTTCAAAGGTGTATTCTATCTTGAACTCAATGTTGAAATATACCATATTTGTAATCATCTAACAGTGGGTGGTCATAGAAGTACCTGACCCACAAGGAAAACACGAAAATTTTGGAAAAAAAATTATTTATTTTTCAACATAATCTCCTTGCAGCCTTATACACTTTTTCCAGTGACATTCAACACCGTTTTTATAATGAGAACTGTCTTGTTGCTCAAAGCTTCTTCAAACTTGAAACATATGCTCAATTCCTAATGGCGTGCTACTTTCTGAACAACTACCGCCATCTCTTAGTCAGGCTGGGTACTTCTGGGACCACCCTGGTGGAATGGCTGTGAAACTCCTTTTATGTTTATGTTTTACAGTTGAACACAGTTTAGTAAGTGCTTACAAATTGAAAAAGTGGATCGACAGCAGTCAGAACACTTCTGAGGCTTTACAAAATTACTTCGTAGAGACTTATGACCACGTATTCACATACGTAAATTATTCACTATGGATTGGACTGGCGTTACAAGTGCGATGAAGACCGCAAGAATAGTCGTCAACGATTTTAAAGTATTTTAATTTACAGAGAACCTTCAATTGGAGTTTCGCCGATGTTACTATCATGCTCATTGGAACAGCTTTAACTTTTAGATTGAAGCAAATGTCAAGGAGGATAGAACGGATTTCTACGTTGAAGGTATCCTTCCCAATGCTCTAATCTACCATTTTCATGTTTCATACTATTCTCAGGTTCAATTCTCATAGCTTTTTGTTCTCACAGCTTTTGTGTTGAATTGAAATCTCTTCATTATCCCAAATTATAATTTCCCACGTCATAAAAACCCCGGGTACCAAATTTCATGCAAGTAACTTATTTTTTTGCGAAAGTAATTTTTAAAAACTAACAAAAAATGCAATTTCAACACCCTGTATATCTTTAATTGTCTTGAATATTTTACCGTACTTATGTTACACCCTGTATAGTATTGAGGATTGTTGTTTTATTGTATAAATAATTTTCAACTATTTCTAGGTGAATAACATCAACCAATGGAAAGTTGTAAGAAAAGACTATATTCGTCTAACCGAATTGTGTTATGAAGTCAATACCAGACTATCTACCATAATAATGATAAGTTTTTTGACTAACATGTATTTCGTTTTACTGCAAATCTTCCTGAGTATGAATCCAATGGAAAATTTGGTGCAGAAAATATACTTCTATTTGTCTTTTGGGCTGATATTAATCAGAATAGTGGGACTATGCGTTTTTGGCGGAGCAGTTTACGAAGAATGGAGAAACTTGGGGTTCCTATTGAATTGTGTTGTTACAACTACATACAACCAAGAGGTGGGTAGTATCTGAGAATGTTCATTCTACATGCACGTCGGATGATTCATACAGGGTGTACCATATAAAACTCCGCGGGCAAATATCTAAATAATGAAGAAGAAAATCCATATTTCGTGAAAGCAGATCATTTTGTGGTCAAAGGTCCTTTTATTTACGTAGAGATCCAGCACTAGGCGTCGTCATCCGTTAGGGCGTCGCAACACTGACGCCAATGTTTTCAAATGGTAACCCAGTATTTTCAATTAGTTTTTGAATTCTGCATTAAATTCTGAATGCAGCCATATAGCAACCTTGTACTTTTCCTTGAATACTGATGAAAAAAGGTATTTTTATTGCGTATTATAAGTCAACATAAATGCAATAAGGTATTTGTCGGTCTGTCAGAAGACCTGTCAGATTTGACGAAAGTGTATTCAGTTTCGTGTTGGTTTTTCGTGGAATTGAAAAATGGTTCAATTTTCAAATGCAAAAAAGTTGGATATGATATGTATTTATGGCGAAGCAAGAAGGAATTCAAAAGAAGCAGTGGGAATATACGCTAATCGGTATCCTGACAGAAAATCAACGTCAGACAAAACATTCGCTGGCTTAGCCAAACCTTTGGCATGAAATGGATGTTTTAATGAACGGAAGCGAAAAAAACCATATAGTTCTACCAAGTTCTACAAGTAGCAATGCATTGTAACATTTCGAAACCGTCAATACAACGTATTTTGTCAAAAAACAAATTCCATCCATACAAAATACATTTGGTTCAAGGACTACATCCATATTTCATTTTCAATAACTGAAATATATTCCCATATTCAGGAGATGCTGATAGAAGATTGAACTTCATTGCATGGTTGTTCACCCGTATTCATGATGATGATCAGTTTCTAAAAAAAAAATTTGGAGTGATGAAAGCCGTTTCCATAACAACGGTACACTAAACAAACATAATTGTCACTATTAGTCTGACGCGAACCCTCATTGGGTGCAAGAAACGAGATTTCAGTCTGTGTGGGGGGTTAATGATTGATGCGGAATCATTGATGGTTATTTTTTTCGAAGGAATTCTCAATGGGGAGAGATACTTGGTTTTTCTACAACATGTGTTGCCGAATCTCTTGGAGAATTTACCAAATAAAACTCGACTAAATGGTGTGGTTTCAACAAGATGGGGCACCTCCACATAATAATAGAATAGTTACCCAATATTTGGATGATACTTTTAATGAAAAATGGATTGGAAATAAGGGTCCAATAACATGGCCAACTCGAAGTCCAGGTACTACTCCACTAGATTTTTTTGTGGGGATATTCCAAAGACAGTTTATATGCGACGTCCACAAAATTAAGAGGATTTGAAAAATAGTATCACAAATGTTTGTGCTTCCATAGCGCGAGAGACGCTTTTAGCTGTCACGAATCGGGAATTATCAAAAAGATGCAATATGTGTATTCTCCGTGAAGGGAGGCAGTTCGAACACTGAAATTGTTCTTGTTATCATTAACTAAATTAGTTATCTGTTGTCGGTCGCTCGTCTTCGGCAAAGAATCCCACAGTTTTAAATAGTAGATCCAGATACAGCATCCAAGTAATGCTATGATTACTCGTTCTGGCTTCGGCTACATTCTTTAAAATAATAACACTTTGACAATGATATTTTATCTTCGACAATATCGTTTAAGTTATGTATGTTATATTTCTTAGAATAGTAACACTTTGTCAATGAGATTTCATCTTCGACAATAAAGTACATTTTGATTTGATTTTTGATATCGCAAAATTTGTGTTTTGACTTGACATGGAGGGTTTCTTTCGAACTTTGGCCAACCAATACTAAATTTATTTGAATTTTGGGCCAGTCTATTTCGAACATTACAATTCATCGACTATTTTCCTATGAAATGGATCACAATTCATGATGTCACGTTCAAAATTGGTACTGTGCTGGATGGTATCTGATATTAGGTATTTTGGGAGAGTTTCTAGTCAAAATTAGATCAAGGTCATATCGATCATTTGATCCGAATGATAAATCTATAACTCGGTAAATATGCATCTTGATTTTCTAATTTCTCATCCGACAGGTGGAGAGAATGGCATGTCACGTTATTTCGTGGGAACTGTCTCTGTCTGGAAAAAACTTTTTCCATATTTCAAGAAGCCTTATTCTCAAGGTGAGCCTCATCATTTTCTTGTGTGCATTATCACAAAGAGACAATTTTGCAGATTGCTGGAGCAGTTGTTACGTATGAGTTAGTACTCATCCAATTTTATAGGAATGCTCAGTATAATAGCATGTAGAAGCCTCCTGAATAATGTACTGATTGATTTTATCATATATTTGTTTTTATGAATAAAGTATGCATACCCAGTTGAAGAATTAATTACTGATAATCTTGTTCAAAGAATGAAAATTTCTTCTACGGTATTGATTAGATGGAAAAATAATAAAAGCGTTGGGCGTAAATTTTTTTATCTGATCAATACCGTAGATTGCTGAGGAGAGTGGTGTGACGACTGCTACCTAGGACCTTCCGAATTATTATTCTGAATGTCAAAATTATTATTAAATCTAAGGTTTTTTGAGTGTATCTGATATCTGGAAAGGAGTTTCTTCACCAAGTAAGTGAGTTTTATATCAGTTTGTGAATGTAACAGGCGAAATACAATTCTCTTTTGTTTTGCATTTTCAACCAATTTAAAATTCAAATTGAACGTCTCTATTCAATTCAGGAATAGATTCCATCAAATGGAGCTCATTAAGTTTATACGTAGGAGTAACTATTAGTAAATACTTCTTTTTTGAATAATTAAACTAAACACAACGATATTTCCATCTGTGTATTATAATATGAATGAAAAATAACAAAAATCAGAGGAATTCACACACATTACAGAGTACTAAAATATTTGAACCGTTTGAATACGTTTTCTCTACCAATCAACAGATGTTGCTGGTGGAAGTAAGCGTGGAAATTTCAGTGATTACGTGTAATGAATTTGCCAAAAACGAAATTTTCCAGGAGGTGGAAAAGAAGTGTCAGCAAGAGTATATTGAAAATGTGGCACATATACGTCACAATGATTGAAATGGGAGAGAACCATACTATCATACAACTTGATTTTCAATTTGTAGTTCAGAAAATGTCTGACTCTGAATAAGTTACAATGACATATATATGCATTTTTAAATTTTTGAGTAATATGCTGTTTGAATCGTAACTTATTATCCATACAACACAACAAAGTTTTTGTTTCGGGGTTGAAATTAGATGATTTTAATGTATTTCCACGTGTTAAAACCAAAAGTGACCATAAAAATTATATATTAGCTCTTGTTTTCAAGATATAGTATCATTATATTTTATATATGTATATTGAGTTTTCAACAAATGAAATATTTCATCACCAACAGTTGGTACACATGTTTGTTTACATAACACCCCTCTCATCAGCTGTTCTTAGGTAGTAAACATAACCTATGTGAGTTTGTCAATTGTACGCACGTGGTTGCTATTGAAATTATCGTGTGAAGTTGATTTTTAAATTAATTTAAGTGCTGATCTGAAATGCCT